GAGTAAAGGAGAAAAGAACTTAATTACCTATGATAAAAGACAGAAAGAAGAAATGGATCGAACATGGACTTGGTCTTTTAACTGATATATAAAATAATAGAAAGAAAGCAGCCTCAAGGAAGAAAGAGAGTAATGTGATGACATGTGTCCGGAAGGAAACAAATGAAAGCTATGCCATCATGAGACGGAAATAGTAGAGAAAAATTGATAGTTAACTGATGAACATGCCAGTAGGCAGAAAAACAGTTAATGTTGATGATGATAATGGTGATGATGATGATGATGATGAGAGGATGATGAGGAAGAGAACAGGACGACAATATTAGATATTATATTACCCTTCATAGTGAGTACATTCCTTTTCATCAAAATATATCGTCGACCTGCTTTTGTAACATAACGATTTACTGTATTTTTATTTTAGGATTGTATCAAGAATCGCATGGTGTTGTTCACAACGTATACTATAGTGCAGAATACAAAAACAGAACTAGCGGTTTTTTTGACACGCTGAACGTCACGGAGTGGTTCGACACTGGTTCATGTGAACCAATATGGGTGACAGCTATAAACCAGGGTTTGAAAGCTGGTACGATAAACTACCCTGGAGGAAGTGTAGCTATAAAAGGTGTAAAACCGACCAGAGACGTTCCTAACACCTGGTGGGCGTTTTTGAATTACGGACTAGAACAGAGGGTCAATGACGCTATCACCTGGCTAACAAAGGATGAATTTGACTTGGTGATGCTTTACTTTAATAAACCAGACAACGCCCTCCATGAATTTGGCATTGGCCACGCAAATACCGATGCGCAGCTGCACGAAGTGGATGACGTGATAGGTTATCTGTTCGACAAAATCGATAAAGCATCTTTAACTGATATACTGAACGTTATTATCGTCAGTGACCATGGTCACGTGAACCAGGAGGTCAGAAAACACGTAGCATTATACGACTACATAGACAAGGCAGACATCGATTTTGTAGTTGGTGATTACGGCCCATTTGTTCAAATTCTTCCAAAGGAGGGAAAGCTAGAGAAGGTGGGAATTGATTATTGTATTTTTTATAAAGCCGGGCACTTACTGCGCCCGACGGTCATCGGCCCACGCGATTCTATAAAGAACACAACAACACGACGCACGCGCAGCGGGTCGCTTTTATTGACGATGGGTTCAGACTACCACGGACAATCTGCAGATGGCGTCACGTCGTCTAGCGCTCACAGAGGAAACCGAGTTGGATTTAGGCACTGAGTGCCTGGCTTTAAGGAGATGGTGTATATAATTGTGTATCAAAACAAATGAAATAATATATTCACGTTAAAAAATGAGGGACAAATATATGAATGTATGAAATTATTGTTTTTTCTTCTTTTTTTTTTTATAAAGATCTATGATATCCTCGTTGAGGCTCATCCAGCTCTTTACATTTACAAGAAAGAAGAGTTTCCCGAACGTTTTCATTACGCAAATAATCCAAGAATCTTACCGATAATCGGATTTGTTGATCCAGGATGGAGCCTGCATTTGGTAATGTTTAACTAATATTGTCTAAGAGCTTATATAAACATACTTTTCTTCGCTCTCGTCTTTTTTAACGTTCAAAAAATTTATAATAATTATAACTTTACATCAAACCCTTTAGAGTTTATATATATATTATATCATTATTTATTTATACAAAGGTATCGCTTCGGAGATCATGTATTGTCGTAAAATGAAGTCTTTTACCTTATAGGCGTCCGTGGTTTAATGGGTATGGTATTGATAGAGAGAGGTTGCAGGCTTGAATCCCGCCACCGAGACGCTTTTTTCACAAGGGAATAAAATCTTGTTCCTATTCGAACACTGTTATTATTATTATTATTATTATTATTATTATTATTATTATTATTATTATTATTATTATTATTATTATTATTTATCCATTTGTTTACGATACCGGTATATATTTTACTCCTAAAATGAGGGCAACTTGGTACTGGGTTGATTTCTTCTGATTAAAGTATATAACATTCAGTAAAGATGTTTCTCCAATCATGTGATGTATATATTTTTTGTAATCCGTTCACATTTTTTGCGGATTTACGTTGTAATCATTAAACCTGTGTTTTCTTTGAGCAGAACTACACGCCAGCCTCGGAGGGCTGGAAGTCCGATCATGGGTATGATAACAATTGGATGCTTATGAAATCCATCTTCTACGCCAAGGGTCCAGCCTTCAAATCTGGCTACAGATCTCCAAACATAGAATCGGTAAGAAGTTTATGAACTACAGACACTTTAGTTCTTAGTTCCGTGGTTGAACATTAGTAAATCATTATTCACTCACTTGCGCACAAGTGATTTTGACGAAATTCGTAAAATATACAGTACCCTTATATTACACGTAAAAATTTGTCTATTGTAGGCTGCACATCTACCTAATCATTACAAAGCTTTAGGCTCATGAGAACGGTATCTTCACCTCTGTTTTTTTTAAATACAGGCTGCATTTAATGTTACGAAAACTATTTTCCTTCTATTTAGCTACTACAAATAATATTTCACCTAAAGTTTAAATAGCACAAACTGACTTTTATTTTTTTTAATACATATGAACAGGTGAATGTGTATCCATTGGCGTGTGAGCTCCTAGGAATCACTCCAGCCGCAAATAACGGATCGAGGGTCAACTACGTCGACATGTTGCGTTCAGATATTGGCTCTGCTGGATACAATAAAGCTTCAAAATATGTTGCTTGGATAATGCTGATTGTCAGCACCATTATGCCGTATCTATAAACTAGCTCCATGTGGTGTTCTAACATGAATTTGTAACTAGGAGAACTGTTTTGTTTATAGGGTTTAATTAAAAGCTACAAAATATTTTAACATAAATGCGTTAGCTGGACTTCAAGACATATAGACATTTGAAAGGAAATCTTTAACGATGTTCATTCAATATTCACAATTCAATATCTTTGTATTGCCTGGCAAAACAGAATTAAATTCTTAGGTATACGAACAATTTCTATGTAATTTTTAATGAATGTGAGACTCAAATGGATAAAATATGCCTTTTAAATAATAAATTGTGTGAATTTATGGGGCTTTGACATCCAGTCCTTATTAATGTCTTTCCGTCGGGGACATGGGATGCCCACTACAAATTCTGGCGCCACCACTGAAGATACTAATGAAAACTTATAGGCCAAAATAACCCCAGAACCTACATGTGTCATATCTATTCCGAAATATCTTATAGAATTTAACACAACGGTATCCTGTACCAGTTTCATTGTCTGTACAGGTCAAATGTTATCTTCTGAACTATTTTTACAGTATCAAAGGGAGGAAAATAAATTTAAAATACCGTTAGCATTATTTTTATTATATGTTGTCATTATTACTATTAGGTCATTATTATTCATGATGATATCAATATCATTTTCATCATAAGTTTTATTATTATCCTTATTGCCTCCGCGAAGAGGTTATATTTACCTCTGCAAGAAGGTTATACTTTTATTCGATTTTGTGTGTGTTTGTGTGTTTGTATGTTTGTTAGCAACGTACAGTTTTAGATCTACATGCGTCAGATTTTTACAGATGTTTTCTGATATTGAATAGGTTTCTTTTTATGGTGACGATCCGGTGTGAGGTCTGGATGTGGGGAACATTTAAAAGAAAACAACCCACACTAAGTATCTCAAAAACTGACCTACTGATCTGTATGAACCTTTCTAGAAGTATAAATCAATTTACAATGAAGATATTATTACGTTTTGGTGACGATCCATATTAGAGTGTGAAATTAGGGGTCATTTAAAATGTTAAAATCCCAGACCTAATACACTTTTTTTTAAATAACACATTTTATAAGAACACTGAAGCTGGAATTGCTTATAAAATACGAACAAATAAGAACAAATTTAGGCTGAAGTAAAATATCAAATGATGTTTTTCATTTTTAAAACTAGAAAAATCAAAAATCTTTTATGCACCTTATGTGCAAAAGGTGTGACTATATAATACCCTCTATAATACAGTACAGTAGGTGTACCTACCTGTAGTTTGGGGTAATTTTTACCGTGGCTTTTTTCTGGGGCCATCATTTTCCAGGTTCCACTTTTACCTACATTCCAGTACAGTGTAGACTGCTGTACAAAACTAATTTTCTATTATTGCTTAAAAATTATGTAAACTAAGAACAGAATAAGAATATTTTGAGCCTGAAATCGGCCAAAAAATAAGAACACTGAGCATGGGCAAAATTTTACTGGCTTTTATAATAAAAAGAAAGTGTATCTCAAAAACTCATAAATGGAATGGTTTAGCGTGGTCCAAGGGAGTAACAATTAAAGTTTTGGTGACTATCTTGAGTATGTTGTGGTTATAAGGACCATTTAAAGGTAACGTTCCAGACCTAGGTGTATTAAAAAAAAATAATAATGATTGATTATTATAATAAATATCTTAAAAATTGATCAATGGATCAGAATGAAACTTTTTAGAATGGTTTTTCATGGTAGAAGGAACAATGATTAATGGCTCCCAGTGGCGTACCAGATCACATGTAAATAAAAACATATTAGTTGTCTAGTTAGTTATGACGATCGCCTGGTAAGCGGTAGGTTCGAATCCAAGTGGAGATTGACATTCAGTTTTCATTATTTATTTTCAAAAGTTAAGATGCGTAGGACGTTTATACAGTGGAATCATAATGTGAGCGGAGGTATACACGCTAGGAGTGTGCTTTAACTGTTATTATCATCATCATCGTTGTAATATATCAATATAAATATCGATGCTCATTTGTTTATGCTTACAATAACTAGATGACGTCTGGAGGCGAGAACATATGAAGTTCTCGCCGCCACGCCCACCTCAGCCCCACCATGGTTGGTGTAAATAAGTGGCAAATAATCGATCTCTCCTTTCACCCCAATGCTGGATCGCCACTGAACTCATGGGTACACTCTTTTTTTCCTTTTTCATCTTTTTAACTCAAATTTTTCTCACTCTTTTTTATTTTTTGGCTTGACTGACGGAGGGGGGGGCACGAGCCCCCTTGGCCCCCGCTGGATCCGCCCTTCCCCCCCCCACTGGATCCGCCCTTGTATACAATTATACTTTTTGTATTATGTATTATAATTATTCAATGATCAGTTTTTAATGTAGTATATGCTATTTTCATTTCAGTCAGAATTGGTACTGCCATTCTATCAACTAAATGAAAACAGTTTTAAAACTTCTGATGTACTGTATGATAAATGTAACATAATTTTAGCAGAATATATACATAGAACATTATTGTTGTTTAAATCAATGGTTTTACAATTACTATGGATGTTACTTAATACATAATAAAATTTGAATATAAATTATGTTCCACTTCTTATTCATTTCTGTTTTTAGTAGAAAAAACTATTAATAATGAATTTTTTAAACAATTTAGAAGTTGTCAATATCAATTATTGAACCCCAAAGCTGAACTCATTCCAACACAAAAATTCCATCTTGCTAGAATTTTCTTGATAAAAACTCTTATTTTGAATATTATTTTAAAGAATAATTACAGACTATAGATTGAACAAATTTACTGTGCAAGTGTGTAGGACACAATTCTGATATTAAGATCAACAACACTATAAATAAGATAAAAACATCATAATTGTTTTTTATTTTATTTATTTAATACCATATTTCAAGAGGGTGACTCATACAACAATGCTGATCATTAGGGGCCCTCATACAATACACGAATAAAAACAAGAGTCACTTAATTACACAAATTTATAAAATTCAGATATAAAAGATAATTTCTTTAACTGTGTATATCCCTCTATTTGCTCGAGGAGTTCAAACAGACGTAATGAGCATGAGCAGTAATATTCATAAGGAGTTGCCATGGAGAATATTTTTTTGACCTCACATATTCCATCATTTACATATTAGTCCATGGTTTAGCAGTGGACCAAGTCCAAGTTTCGAGAATACGAAACAGATTTAAACCAGGACTAACTCTAGTCTAGGACTATTCTAGGACAAACTATCCAGGACTAAAGTTAGTCCTGGACTAACTTAATCCACTTTCGAGAATACCGGCCAAAGAATTTATCTGATGTCATTAATACTTTTTTTATGTCATTATTATCGTCTTCATTACAAGGAATTTACATTAGCACCATCACTTAATTCGATTGCATAATATGTATACTTTATCTTGCATTATGAATCAACGTACATGAAAATATACTCTTGTCGATCAGTTTTACCTGCAGGAACATTTCCGCATGGACAATAGTCATCAAGTGGGTAATGTTGGGGCGTCAAATAGAAAGTTTGGAGGTACATGCTTGTACTACAACAATAAATATATTACTTAAATCGAAAAAATAGAACTGGTCTTCTAGAGGAATAACAGAGATCTATAAGAAAAAAAAGAAGAAGAAAAAATAGCCTTTACCCGGGTAAAATTACTGTACTTAGTTACCTTGCCTTCATATAATAAATTGTTCAAATTTCTTGTTTTCTTATCGTGGAAAATCAACAAAATGATTAACAAAATAAAACACTTTGACGTGTTACAGAAATCAAAATTTTCCCTGACGAACAACAAGACAACTTGACAACGGGTGGATACTATGTACATTACACAAACTGCAGTAGATATTGCTAACAGATTAATATAAATACCGTCATTGTGTGTGAAGTCCGCATTGATAGCTAAAGTATCGAGAGTCCACAGTTCACAAATAATGGATACATTGCAAGGCATACGTAGTGTATTGGTATTATTATCAGCCTGTGCAGTAAGTGCTCATGCAAAAGTAAGTAGGTCTACCTATANNAGGCTATACATTCAGGAGTGGACTTATGATGCTCCAAGCGAAATAAAATGTAAACTCAATAAAGAAAAGATGTACAATCATTGGAGTTTGAATTTCGGAATACAAATTTATTAAAAAACAACACCAAACGGATATTTCGATAGATCCTGCTATCTTTATCAACGTCAAAGTGGGGGATTTGGGAGATCTAACACATACATAAAGAATAATAAATAATAAATGGTATATAAATATATATAAAGGTAAATAAAGTTAGAGTGCAGTATAATTTAAACGAATTTAGCTGTGAATCAATAATTTTTGGCGGAGATTTTAACCTTGTGCTATATACCAATATAAACAAAATGGGAGGTAGAGTCCACACGCACTTAAATTCACAAAAATGTGAAAGTCAACCATGAAATCCTTTGATTTGATTGACATATGGAGGGAAAAAACCCAAATGTGCGTAGGTACACCTGGCGATCATCTAAACCAATAATTCAGTGTCGTCTGGATTCCTTTCTTATTTCATACAACCTTTATACTCAGATTAATTCATGTGAGATTGTTATAAAATTGATTATTCAATTATTAGCTTAGATATTACTCCTGTAAATGGGGCCAGAGGAAGAGGATTTTGGAAATTCAATACAACACTCCTGCATGACCCATGTTATGTTGATAAAGTAAAAAATTGTATTAGTGATACCAAATTGAAAATTAGATCGTTAACGTTACAACACTCTTCTGAACTAGCTAAAAAGCGTAAACAAAAAGAAAATAAATTGCAAGAAGAATTGAACGACTTAGAAAAACTATATTGCACAAACCCGTCCAAATACTTATCAGACAAAATTGAAGTATGTAAATTAAATCTTGAGATTATTTATGAGCATAAAACCAAGGGTGCACAGATACGGTCTCGCGCAAAGTGGGTTGAAGAGAGCGAAAGGAACACCCGTTTCTTTATCAATTTGGAAAAAAGAAACCAGAGTAAAAAAATATTAAAGAAAATTGTCCGAGATGATAATACCATTATAACTGAGCCCAAGGATATTTTGGAGGAGGAGAAAGAATTTTACCAAAAACTCTATCAGTCGAAGAATCCCCCCGAACCTGATATTGAAGGCCTTCTTTTGCAAAATGAAAACCCTACAAAATTAAATAAAGAGGAACAAAAATGCCGACCGAGTGGTATATATTTTTTTTAATGATATCGTCGATTTGTTGATTGAATCCTGTGAGTATTCATTTAATGAAGGTATTATATCCACCAATCAACGCAGAGGCATAATTAATCTAATACCGAAAAAGGACAAAAATCCCTGTTATCTAAAGAACTGGAGGCCAATTACATTGCTTAATACTGACTACAAGATAATTGCTAAAATACTCGCAAATAGAATTAAAGGAGTAATTCCAAATATTATAGGTGCTTAAACAGGTTTATTGGAGAAAATATCCGAACAACTCTTGATGTTATTCAGTATTTAAATGAAAAAGAATTGGACGGTATGATTTTCATGGTCGATTTTGAAAAAGAATATGATAAGCTTGAATGGCCGTTTATTTTTGAAGTACTTGAACATTTTAATTTTGGAAAGAGTATTATCAGGTACATTCGAGCCCTCTACTCGGATATCTCTTCATGTATAATCAATAACGGACATTCAACTTCCTTTTTTCCGCTTAGTCGAGAACTCTGACAAAGGTGCCCGCTTAGCCCCTATCTTTTTATAATATGTAGCGAAATTCTTAATATTTATATCCGAAAAAACGAAAATATAGAAGGCATTACAATAGAAAACATTGCTGTCAAAATTAGCGCATACGCTGATGACACAACATTATTTTTGAAAAACATTCCCGCACCTCTGCACGTATTGGATGCACTTGAGAAATTTAAGCACTGTTCAGGGTTGGCTATTAATTTTGACAAATCTGTGGTGCTCCCATTTGGTGTATTTAAAAAACTCCTCCAGACATTTCATACACGGGGCTAGGTTTTACTGAAGGTCCAGTAAGTATGCTTGGCGTTACCTTTTCTGCAAATTTGAACGATTTGTTCGAAATAAATTTTATCCCTAAGTTAGAAAAACTTAAAAAAATGCTTAGCTTATGGTCCATGAGAGATTTAACACTATTTGGAAAAATCACTATTGTTAAATCTCTTGGCATATCTCAATTTGCATATCTATTTTCTGTTTTGCCTGATCCACCAAACAAATTTATCAAAGATCTCGAATCTATTATGTTTAAGTTTATATGGTCAGGCAAACCAGACAAAATCAACAGAAAAACATTAATTGAAGACTATGTAGATGGAGGGCTTAGGATGAGTCATTTAGATTCAGTAGTAAAGGGGTTAAAGTTAACATGGATCAAACGATTGCTTAATGAAAAAATAAGGGAGTTTGGAAGGTATTTTTTGCACTCCAATGAGAAATTTAGGTGGAAATTTCTTCTGGCGATGTAACACGAAAAATGTATAAGTAATATCAGAAATCAATTTATAAGAAACGTGGTGTCAGCATGGTGTGATTACCTTCGAAACGCCTCTTAACTGCTTTGGTAAACAAATTCTATGAAATAATTCGCAAATTAGAATTGGAGGAAAACCTGTGTTTAATCAAAGATTGTATAAAAATGGCATTCAGACTCTTGCAGATATCACGCATGTTAACGGTGTAATAATGTGCTTTACCGACTTCGAAAGAAAATATAATATAAAAGTTAATTACCTAGATTTTTTTTTCACTGATCCATGCTATTCCAGCAAATTGGAAAAAACAATACGAATTAGGTAATGTCTACCATAATGTACAAAGTAATCAAGAGGAAATTCTTGAAAGTGTAAAAAAATCACCAAAGGTTTGCAAGTTTATATGTGAATTATGCACTAAAAAGTTATTTAAGACTCCTGTTTCCGACATGAAATAGGCGGCAGAATTCAATTATCCTGAACTGAATTGGCCTGATATTTACCCTGCCCCACGTCTTTGTACGCAGTCGACGAGTTTAGGAAACTTTCAGTTCAGGTTTTCACATCGAATTCTGTCGGTAAAATATTTTCTTTTCAAAATAAATATTATACAATCTGAAAAATGCACTTTTTGTCATTTAGACACCGAAACAATTTCTCACCTTTTCTGGGACTGTAAAATCACTATTAATTTCTGGAAAGAAATTAACAAGCATTTTTTATTAGATGGAAGTGAAATGTTCTATAAAGCTGTTTCTTTTGGTTCTCAAACTAATGTTCACATAAACTTGGTTGTTTTACATGCAAAGTACTATTTATATATATGTCGATGTAAGAATAAGAAGCCTACATTGTTGTTCAAACAAAAACTCTCCTTTGAAAAAGCAGTTGAAAAGCATATAGCCCTAGGAAAAATGTGCTTTTCTAAATGGTGTGATAAATGGAACTTAATTAAGCTGTGATTTTGTATTAAAATGACACCCTTGTAGTAAATGTGTATGTCAAATAGACGGTTGAGGTGTTACGCTCATTTATGTAAATTTGGCACCAAAACTCGCAAAATGTGACACTTTAAATAATAGTAAATTAAAGTATTAGTAAAAGTAAATGTAATCCAAGCACGTTTGTAATTAATGCTTTGAAGATATGCAAGGTAAATTATTATTATTACTTTATTTATTTATTTTTTCTAATTTTTTATTTTATTTTATTATTTATTTATTTTGTTTTATATAGTTCTACTTAAAAGAGGTCTTCTATTATTATATTTAATTTTCTCTATATAGTATGTTACTTATGTTTTATATAAAGTATAACTTATGTGAGTTTCATTTATAAATTAATGTGATTATGGAAATAAAAGGCTTGGCAAAGAAAAAAATTTATATATATATATACATATATATGTATATCGTTACCATGTGCAATAATGTAAATAGTGTTTTGTGAGTGAAAATGTGAAATGTGAACAAGTAAAAATGTGATTATTCATAACTTTATATCAGGACAACAATTCATTATCCATTATGCACACGGAAATAAATACACAACGTTACATCGTTAACAATACTCCATTTTTCTTATATATATATATATATATATATATATATATATATATATATATATAAACAGCAT